TAAATGAGCGCTTAAAACAAGAACATTACATAATGCCTCGCAGAGAAAACCGAAGCAGAGCTGGCCGGTGCGACAACTTTCTCGCGCCTGGATGCAAACTCTGGATTTCACTGGATCCCTCCAGATGACAAAACCTCCCAAATTTGCACCATTACAACACCCTTCGGCTACTACCAGTTTCTGCGCTTGCCCTTTGGCATAGCATCTACTTCAGAGATCTTCCAGAGGACCTTGAATGAAATTTTTGAAGAACTTCCTGGAGTCAGAATGTACGTTGATGACATCCTTATCTGGGGTACATCCATAGAAGACCATAACGAGCGTCTTAGGTAAGTGCTACGAGCAGCTGAACATTCTAGGCTAAGATTCAACCCAGAAAAGTGCACTATTGCGGTTGAACAGATAGAAATTTTTCAGACATGACTGAAAAAATGGCATCATACCAAGCCCATCTTAGATAAATCGCATGCTACAAATTCCAACACTGGTTGGCAAGCTGGTGGTACAAAGGCTGCTGGTCACCATCAACTACTTTGGCCAATTCCTGCTGTCATTCAATGAAAGAACAGCATTACTGAAAAACGTGATCAAAACCCCGCCGCGGTGGTATCGGCTGCCGACCGGTGGTCTCGGTACTCGGATGATGACCCGCAGGTCGCGGGATCAAATCCCTGCTGCGGCAGCTGCATTTCTGATGGAGGCGGAAGTGCTGCAGGCCCGTGTGCTCGGATTTGGGTGCATGTTAAAGAACCCCAGGTGGTTGAAATTTCTGGAGCCCTCCACTACGGTGTCTCTCATAATCATATGGAGGTTTTGGGACGTTAAACCCCACATATCAATCATCCAAGGGCGTGATCAAGAAGAACCGCATTTTCGAATGGACAGAACTATAATCAGGAATAGAAGCACTTATGCGACAGTTTAAACAAATAACCTTTGCTATATGATCCTTAGAGAAAAACCAATGCGTCGTGCGAAGTGTCACACAACGGGTTTGGATCGGCTTTGTTGCAATATCACAACAACATGCGAAAACTGGTCGCGTATGAGTCACGAGTGTTCAGAAAAATAGAGCAACAGTATTCACAAATTGAAAACTAAATGTTAGCATTGATATATGGCTGTGAAAGATTATCATTGCTCGGAAACTAATAGGCAATATGCCGCCAAGGCTACAGAATTTTTCCCTCCATGTGCTGCGTTACGACCTTGACTTGCAATTGATTCCAGCGAAGCAGCTCGTTCTTTCTGACATGCTCTCAAGAGCCACAAGCAGCAAAGCGGGTAACACTGACAGCGACAACGTAGAAGTCCACGCGGTAAATGTGACGTCTTCCTTAGTGAGCGATCGAACATTGAAGCAGTTCGCAACAGGAACAGAGAGGGACGAACAGCTGAAAGACGTTCTGAAGAACCTAGAGCCCAGAGAGCATATCAAGGGCCAACAAAAGCTATTTCAAACATAACTACCTATCTCAAGTTAACTCAAGTTAAAGGCATACTTTTTAGAGGCTGTAAGATGATAATACTGGCTACTGTGAGGCACGAAATGCTTGATTGCATTCACCGAGATCCACCTAAGCATCGATAAATAAAAATCAAGGTCAAGACATTTGTTTTTTTTTGCCTGGAATGAATCAAGATATCGAATCAATCTGCCATAAATGCGCACCATGCAGAAAACACCCCTACGAACAGGCGACACCCGGAAGATGCGTCTGGCACCACTCCAGCCTTAGTACCATGTAGGGGCGCACCTTTTCGAATATAGTGGTAGAACATATACTTGTGTGCTCATGATGAGCTCTCTAACTTTCCCTGGGGTGAACTTGCTCAAGGACACAACTTCGAGAATGGTCATAGAAGCAATGAGTGCAATTTTCGCCAGGTATGGTATACCAGTTGAACTTTGTACAGATAATGGACCGCAGTTCACAAGTTGTGACTTCGCTGCATTCTCTCAGCTGTACGATTTCGAACATGTCACTTCACGCCCAAGGAGCCACAGTCAAATGGTCTCACGAAAAAGGGAGTGCAAGTTGAAGAATACAAAAGAAAACCACTGATGCGAAACCAGACATTTAACTTAGATTACTCACTTACGGGATGACAGCAATGAAGGGTGCCCCTTTACCTCCCAAGGTGCTACAAGGAAGGCAACAACGAACAACGGTGTCGGATGTCCGTGCCATTCCAACATTTCAGGTCTGAAACAATGGCTTGAGCAATGCGTGGAGGAGGAAACTCGTGTCGCTGGGAGCAGGCGACACCGTTTGATTAAAACGAGGGTCATGGTCGACTGATGCACAAGTCCTCGAGCCGTGCAACATTCTCAGGTCATACCATGTCATTACCGAGGAAGGAAAGGTTTTCTGCCGCATTCGACAGCACCTACGTCTAACCAGTGAAAGCTTTTGATGGTGCACGTGTTCCCACAGCAGTGAGAACTTCGCCGAACAAGCTACAAATTCCAGTAGTGGGCCCGCAATTCGACATGCAGCCAATGTGGCAACCACCACTACAACTTCTTTGAGAAGTTCGAGAAGACGGCGCCGGCCACTACAGCGGTTGACCTATGACAGAAACTTTGTGCAAGAGTCATGTTCAGCTTCCTAGTGGTGTGCGATGAATGTTGCTTTTGCAGTACACTGTTCTATCCAAAAACTTCCTGTTAAAGAATTTCAACAGTTTTGTTTGTATTCGTAGTTGTAAATGTCTGAACGAACCGTGGTTAAGTCACTGAAAAATTCGCGAGCAATTCGAAGAATGTTGTCAAGTGCCAGCTCGGCCGTGCTTATAGACGAGTCAATAAGAAGAGACATGTGCTGAGCATATCTATCCACGATGAAGGAAATCTGGAAGCCATGAGTGACTCCTTCAGTTGGCGATGAAAACGTACAATTATTCTATTGGCAATGGGGTGATAAGAAATAAACAAGATGTGGTTGACACCAAGGAGCCAAGAAAATTTGGCGAACGATCTTGAGTGTTGATTGGAGATCAATGGCGACCACTATCAGTCATAATGGTGGAAGGGATACCGTCACAGCTAATCTACACAATGACGAACATAGCAAATGCTGATGGACACTAAAGCAGATGTCGGTGTTCCATGATCGATAAGAATGTGACAAGCATGTCCCTTGAGGAAATGTTGAAAGTGCTTCAGAGCCAAATAGATCATGAGCAGCTTTCAACTGAGGGTGCTGTAGTACTGCTCAGGAGGGGCAAGCTTCTTGGAAAAGGAGGCAATGGGCTGCCAAGCCCCAGCAACGAATAGCAAGACTGCGCTTACAGCAGTGCCAGATGTGTCTACCATGTTGGGAATTGCATTTGAAGTGCGCGAAAAGCATAGCACTGGCAACGGATTCTTCCATGTTTCTAAATGCACACTCATCCATACGTATTGTTGAGGCCCGTAAGAAGGTTGTTGAGAAGCTGCAGTATGTCGACGCGGCAAGGATATAAGTGAGGGTAAAAGTTGGAAGAAATTCACACAGCTGTCTGGTAATGGATGGCTTAAGAAGTTAACAAATGGCAGCTACACGAGTTGGTAGTGGATGAATGCCACATGCATTGATGCGATGGCCGAGGAAGTCGAGCTGTGTGACACTGAACCCTCTCTTAGGGTAGGCATTTGGGACAGCATCATGGTCCTGCGTCCCTTTTTGTCCCATGTCTTTAGCGCTGTTTGTCAGTTAATTTTCACTTGCTCTTTGGGCTGCTAACGATGCCATACTTGCTCAGTCTCCGACTAAGCAAGTTCGACCTGAGTATTTTAACATATTTGCCGCAGTGTGCCAAGCCCTATAAAGTCAATGTACAAGAACGTAGGGAAATTTCATAGGCTGTCAGCGTCCAATTTTTCACTTTGTTCAAATTGCAGGTCTGAAACTGCATTACTGAAGCCACTACTACTGGCACGTTGTTCATTTTGCAAGCTCACACCGGCACTTTTGTGGGTCAATCCGTCTGTGGCTGTAGTGGATTCTATATGCCAGCTTCGTCCAAATACGAAGTTGTTATGCAGTGAAGCATATAAAAAAATTTGATGGGGCTATTGTCATGGCGCGAGTACAGTGATGCCTTTACAAATAGGCACAGGAAATGCACGGAGGTATGATCAGAGCAACCACATTAGCATGACTCCATCCCTGACAACCTTATTACGATAAGCCTCTTGAGGTAATTTCTTGGAAATGCATGTGGCCAAGTGCAGTTGTCTGCACATTTGATCTGACATAACGCACCACCATTTACTGCTGCCTTTTTCTGTGAGACCACAAAGTATGCTGCACACACACATTGCTTGAAACCAGCACAAGAGACCTAATCCATTCGTAGTGCTGCGAAAAACAAGAGATAGGCGAAAAAATATGAGAAGCACCTGGGGAGTGCTGTTAATGCAGCTGGGCAGTGCTTTCGTGTTTTAGTGGGTGGCACGTGGTGCAGAGTAGCCTATTCACATCCAGAGGGGTTGAAGGGCTACAGGAGAGGCAGGCTAAGCTAGCAATACTGGGACGGCTACAATAGAGGTGATATTGTTTGAGCATGCAGTGGACACTTCGGGCAAAGGTGCAGCTGCTTAACTTTGTTTTTTTTTCTTTAAGAAGTTAGTATTCTATTATTTTTGGCTCAGCAATCGGGCAGCCACACTTTCATTATTATAATAAATATTGCTGCATGGGAGAATTGTAGAAAGCGAGTTCTTTCATAAAAAAAATCAAAAGTAAATGCAGCAGCTTCTAATTTTTATTAGCAGGTATACTGTTACAAGCAGTGTAGTTTCAGATGGTATACAGTTGAACTGGGTTCAACTGTATTATCACCCCTCATCAGTGAATGTTGCTACTGGATAGTGCAATTTGACAAAATGTCACAATTACTGAAAGCAAGTTTTCTTTTAATTTCCAAAACACAGTATTTTTGTCTAGATATATTTTAGCACTTCCAATAATTTGTTGAACAAAAACTCTTTCATGGCTGTTAGGCAAACTTACCTTGTGTGGAAGAATTTTCTCAAGCAAATCTTTATTCATTCCAGACTTTTCCAACTCAGCCCTGGCTTCTTTTTCAGTTTTGCCTTTCATGAGAGCCTCTGGCTGAGCAAGGAAGTTTGACAACAAAATCTTTAAAGAGAGAGAAAAAGAAAAGTGAGGATAATGGCGCCCCACATTTCTTCACAGAACGATGAAGAGGCTGGTATTTATACCTGTAAGCAAAATGATATGGGTCACAGGTTTATAAAAATTTGGAAGACCTTATATCAAGAAATGGGGGGCAAGTGAAGTTTAGGATGGGCATTTTTATTTTTTATTTTCTTCACATTGCACAATGCTCCCTTCAAACATAAGCATTTAGTTTTACAATGGGTAGCAGAGCACAATGTTCACTTTCAACGTAAGCGTGTAGTTTCATTAGAGGTAACAGCAGTCCCTGAAATACTGTTTCCGGGCTAATCAGCCTTTCACATTTTTTTCATCATTCATCAGCCTTCTAAACAGACCAACAACAAAAGGACTATCATGCGGTGATGGTAACCCTGGTTCAGAATTCCATTTTCTCGACATTCAAATTTTCCTGAAATGTGCAATTTCTGATCCACGTTAATTAAGTACAAGAGATCGATTTCAGTCCACGAACACGAAACATTTCAATGAAGTTCCCATAGCAAATGTACTGCTTCCCATTTGTTTTTCGCATCATCAGTAGAATGCCTTGGTATGCTTTCAGTTCTCAATGTGAAAGCATGGGGGTGTGGCCTAGAAGTGAAGGCCCCTCTTTTCGGGCAGGGGCACCCTAATTCGACCTCTTCCCCTTTTTATTTGTGTGCACCAGCTGTGGGTGATCAGGTTTTTGTGGGTAAGGATGGCTTTTTGGAACACCCCAATCACCAGCTTCACACGTCAGTGAATACAGTCGAACTCCGCTACAACAAACGCCACTTCAACGAAATTGCCGCTACAACGAAAAATTCATAATTCCCCGTCAGCAGTCCATAGGAGTCAATGCATAAATATTGTTGCCACAATGAACACTTGTTCTTCAGTCGTTTCGCTTCAATGAAATTTCACGATGCAATTCCAGGCTCAGATACTTTTCTTATAGCTATGCGCTGAACCCAATCTTTAACATTTCAATGCATTTTCAGAGCCTGACAATGCGTCAACGAAGTCTAAAACACGCGTTGGCACTACCAGAAACTACCGCTGTTCAGAAGGCATGGGTGCCGCCACTGCTTGACCGCGATGGCAATGAGACTGCCCTGCTTTTGCCACTGGCTTGCAGTAAAAGCAAGCCACTGGCTTGCTTTTGAGCTGCAGATGATCCTAAGCTGAAGCTCAGTCGCTCAGTTCATGATTTCCTTCACGCAGCTGCTAGGTGCAACCGTGGAACGATGCCTTTTCCAATGCTTATCATTATGTTCCCGCTTGGCCAGTGTGGTAACTAATCAGGGTGGCTGTTTGTTCGCATTAACAAAATCAGCTAGCCACGAGTGATAGATGATGAAAACGGTATAGAAGTTGCCGCTCCACGATACCCTGCCTCCATCACGGCGTTGTAGGATACACGTTGACGGCGGACAGCTGCTGATGTTAACGTGTTAATGCAACTGTTTGGTTCGTTCATGAAGGCAAGTTTTAGCGTTGTTTCAGCGTGCTTTTCACCATGGCCTCGCTATGCATGGGTGAGAATCACGTTGTGACACTGTTGGATAAAAATAGGAAGCAGCGGACACTTTATGAATTTTGAGAATAAACGTTTCTTTGTTTTGCTAGCTCAGATCAGCTATATTTTTTTTTATTTCACTACAACGAAATTTTTTTTGCACCCCGTCAGTTTCGTTGTAGCAGAGCTCAACTGTACAAGCGTCACTTGAAAAAGTTACTTTGCAGCCAGTACATATAAAACAAACTTTTCCAAGCATGGCCTGTACTTGGCTGCACAAGCAGCACAATGCACAGAAATTTCAGTATCTGTGGCTATCCGATGACTGAACACCGCTGTGCCATATAATTCAACGTTCACAACTCTTTTCCCACAAGGGTAAAGCAGACAGATAAACTTGCCTCATGATGAATTCCATGACTGATTGGGTTGTGAGTTTTTATCGGTGCAATGAAGTCGCAGGGAATCATGCGAGTGCCTAAAGAAAAAAGAAAGGAATTCATTTTTGCAAAGACTGAGGCTTCAATAATAATTTGTGGGCTTTTACATCCCAAAACCACAATATAATTATGAGTGACGCAGTAGTAGACTCTGGAATATTAACCATGGTGCAAGAACTTGGGTGATATCTCTTCACCCTACAGCATAACCAGATAGTGTTTGGTGCTTTCAGTCCCTCCATGCCCCAATGTCACAGCGCCTTGCACGCAACAGAGACTGGCACAAGTATTACTTCCAAACATACCTGGACACATTTTCCATCGCAGCAGGCAGAGTGTAAACACCTAATGTTTATTGCACTGGGATTTCCACCATCTGGTGTTTTTTTAACGTGCACCTCCAGCATTTCGCCTCCATCAAAATGAAAGTGCTGTGGCTGGGATCGAACCCGCAACCTTCGGGTGAGCAGCTGAGCACTAAAACCTATGTCCCAGCGCTAAAGCTCCAGTAATCTGGCACTGCAGTTTTATTCTGTATCGCAGAATATCATGACGTGAATAGCAATAGAGGGAGTGCAAAACCGAAAAATCATTTGTACTTGTAATAACGATGCAAGTACTACTTCCATCTGTGTAGAGACTGACTGACACTTTGTAAGCTTACATACCGATGTTTGAACAGAAAAAAAAATCTTAGAAATTTTTAAACTAGTCCAACATTTAATAGTAGGCATGCCAAAGTGTGGCAAGCAAAGAAGAGAGTGAAGTAATGTGACTTCTCCCCATGAGAAACTAGAAAAAAAATAGCATGGACAAAATACCGGCTTTCTCGCACAGCTGTGTGATTGTGCATGGTGACAATTACAAACATTTTAAAACTATGACAAGAAGGATATCGGCAGGGCAAAAATTTCAGAGATCTGCTCCTGAGAGACCAAAAGTGCTGCCTTTTTAATATATGGTACCCGCATCTTTGTGGAATCATTCTGAACCATGTGTGTGCAGTGCCGTACTACATTCACTAGCTGTTCTGTAGGTATGTGAAGTTTGTACAAGAATGTTTGTGCAGTGACATGCCATTTTTCACCAAACGCTTACGTACCCTGATGAATGAGTTGGTAGAAAGCATGCTGGCCATTGGTGCCTGGTTCACCCCAGACAATGGGTCCTGTCGTATATGCTACTCTCTGTCCAGTCCGAGTAATGTATTTGCCGTTAGATTCCATGTCACCTTGCTGGAAGTAGGCTGCAAATTTGCTCATGTACTGAAAAAAGAGATTACATTAGAAGTATGCAAAATAACAGCCGAAATTTCAAAAACATTAACTTTACTAAGCTTACATAAAATACGTCCAAGAAAGCACTAATGTGGCAAGAGAATTATTGATTTATATAATCGTAGCACAATATTTTATAACAGTTGTACAATATTGGTGAACAAAATGACTACAAGAAAAGTCTACACAGAGTTCTACTGGAGTCCTCAGAAACCAGCTCCAGGTTCTATATCCGACTATTTTATTTTACTTACAGAATACCTACAACCCTCCACGTGGGTTATTAAAGGAGTGGAAAATACAAACATTGTACAAGCAAGGTAATACAATGACAAGATATCCGAAGATTAAACGCACACAGTAGTAACAACATCTTTAAGTCAAGTGTCGCGATGATGGTATTTGCAAATGTATACGACATACAAACATGTATAACAATACATTGCCTACAAAATTAAGAGATTCAAGAAAATAAAACAGTAAATTCATTCACCCGTACCCTAGTAGTTTAGCCAGAACTTGGAGCCAGAACTAATATGGCCAGTCCTTAATATATTATGCATAAATCTAGTATAAATCTTGCCTACTAGGATGTCACACAGAGGACGCACCATCACAGAATTTTGTAGCCAGTGCTCTTCATTTCAATGAGTGGCACAAAAAACAAGTATATAAAAACAAAAAACATCACAAAAACAAAAGGGGGTGGGAAGGGGGTCTCAATCGCAAGCGCCATCAGCGTTGCGGTCTTATAGTGGCTAGGAGTGGCCAAACACACGAGAGTATTTTTCACTAAGGTGAGAGTCTCAAAGGATCAACACAACTAGCATAATCTATTTCAGTCAAAACAACTCGCGTGTGTCTTCCTGGGACACACGTGAACGGATGGGACGGCGCAGATGGCTGCCACAAAAGCGCGGGTCAAAGCTTTGCTCATTACTAGTTTCTTTTGACAGGAAAGCTAAAACGCGTCTGGCCCCTTTTCATTGCGATAGTAATTATATAGACAGTCCAGGATGGTTTTTTTTTTTGCCATCGCCACCGCTGCCGTCCTTCACAGTATGTGTATAACATATCTATAAATATGAACACGCAAAGAAAAACAAGCCACCCGCGCTCGGCGCCGAGCTCGTCGCGATACGCCGACGCATGCGTGTACTTTGCCCCGTGGATGGATGCCTGTGCACGCGCGCTTATCCTTTGATGGGGGAATCGTGTGCCTTCGGCTTTCACTGAAATGAAAGCCGGCCCACATAAGTCACCTTGGTCTCTGCATCAGCCCCTTTTGCAAAAACAGCGCGCTTTTCATACACAGCGAGGTATAACAACTCGGACACTTGTTAGTTTGTACTCATTTGTACCTGTGATAACGTATCATGCATCGTTTTTGTTTAAACAGCGCGTTATGTGTCAAGCGATAAACATTGTCAGTTTGCTCTCGATCTGCAAGTATCGTTTTCGTGCGTCATTTGAGTGTGAGCAGCGCGCTGGACGTTTCGATCTGCTTGCTGTTCTCAGCATTACATTCCAAGTTGTTGCTGTCGCATTTATTGCTTCGCCCTTGCGGCGAAACGAACTTTTTTTTATTTTTGTGCGTATTTATTGCCTTTAACCTACCGGTGCGTGCCCTCGGAGTTCGTAGATCGCTATCGCGTCGCCGCGATCGCGGTTTTGTGCACGGCGGTTGCGGCAAACGGTAGTTCATTTCACAATCCCCATGTGCTTGGCTGCGCACGCGCCTTCAAAATTAAGTCATTTTATGCTATCTATGATAGCGTCTGTCGCAGTTTTGTTTGCAGAGTTTGCGGAAAGCAGCATTGCTTTGACTGGTTGAGCGCACACTTTCGGGGTTCTGTCGGTTACGTCGTCGCCATACATAATCGTGTCAAGAGCGACCGCGGTTTCATCCACAGTGGTTGTGGCAACGACAATCACACGCACTTTAGAAGACAGTACGTATGCCAGTCGCACGCGTACTTCTGAAGTTCCGAGTACGCTGCTCTTGGCCTTCGTACGACGGTTTCCGTACTAAATTTCGTATCACCCGCCGCGATCAGAAAACGAGTTCGGAGCATTCATATTGAGGCCAATGAATATAGTAAAATTTGGCTGGCGAATTTCAAGGGTTCCTATCTGCCACGGTTTTGCATCACTGACATTATACTGTACGTTTACATGAACACCTCTCATACTTATTTATAATAAAATGGGGTAGGTCCGAAAAGCCTGGAGCGGATTGTGCTGCTTTTTTGTCAATGCGGCCAGATCACGCACAGAAATTTTGACTTCCGGGAGATTTTCATGACAACCGTACAACAAAAAAAACGGTCGAAATCCGGGAGCCTTCTGGCCAATCCGGGGAGACTTGGCAGGTATGCGTAGGGATATTAAACTTTATGTCTTCATGCACGCGAATTCTTATGATTTGGCCACCTGATGCTCTTAGGCAAAGGCGATGACTGACACTTCAGGGTCGTAACTCAAAATGCTTGACAAATTCAACTCCACGAAAAAAGTTTGACAACTGGCACTCTTGTTTTGCCATAGATAATACATCCCTCATCAAAAGCCACAAGTTTTTTTCTACTTTGAAGGCAAAGAACTTTCGCACTGCAAAAACAGAGGCAATCTTCAGGTTGCAGTGGGTAGTGTAAAATAAATAAGCCTACATGCATTTTTATATTCCCTATTAGAATTTATGCATCTATAATCTGAAACAAATGTGCTCAAGAGCCAACAGAGGAGTTCATTAAGGCAGAATTAGACACCTACACAGATAACTATATTAACAAAGTTAATGTCACTGGTACTTTTATATATGCATCTCGCTAGGCAACTGCAAATATTCGAGCACTTTGTATACCCAAATTAATATTAATGTATTCTAGTTTGCTTTTATTCTAATTTAATTTAATGAAAATTTTGAAGTATTCTAAATGAACGAATAGGTGTATATTATTCTGCCTGTGACCCCGTATACAGGTGTTTTCACTGTACTGTGGGGATGCTACACCGTGAAGGCACTAATAAAAAATAAAATCCACACTGCATCCAAGTACCCAAGGTTAAATGAATATATTACCCTCGCATCGATCTGTCTTTTCTTAAGATTGTTATGCCAACTTATATGCTTCAAGTAAAGTAAACCTTAAATGTAACGACTTTTACAAGTTATCACTTGTATTCTATTGAAAGTTAAATCCTGATACTATTAAAAGTTGCTTGCACTTCTTTTAAATGGAAAAGAATTACATTTGCACATGATAGCTGGGTCATGACAAAATATGTTCATTTTTTTTTTATTAGATGTTATATAGGGTGCCCCAGCTAAGTTCAGCCAGATTTTCAAAATATGCCGACACACACAATGACGATGCGACTAAATGCACTTTGCTGACCATTGTCTGGAGTGAGCAAGACTATTGCGTTCTAATTAGTTGTTTAATTTAGCTCCTTTAATTAGCCAACTTTTGAAGGAATGAAGGTGGTCATTGAAAAAGTTGTAGATCGGTTTGAAAAACATCTGATTTGGCAGTTTCGAACTTTATGTCTGTTAATTATTAGCATTTTTCGGCTAACTACAAATGCCCCCCAAATACAAAAAAATATGTGACGAACCTACTGGCATGCCGCGATTCTGGTGCTCTCTAGTGCTCTGCATACGAACAATACACTTCCCTCACCGGTTCATGACAGCGATAAGATGTCGCAGCGGTTACCATTCTTGTGGCCGATAGCACGACGAATTCATGGCAAAGCCATCACCATAGTCTCGATCCTGTCGAGACAGCACAATCGGGCAGACGTTGTCGTCATTTGTACAAAGAACATTAAGGAGCACTAGAATCATTATGTGCAACGATGCGCGAGCCGACTTGTCACATGGTGGTACTTTTCTCATTTCGTGAGCATTTGCACTTAGCAGAAAGACACTAACAATAAACAAATATGAAGTTTGAAACTGTCTGATTGGACATTTTGCAAGCTGATCTACAACTGTCTCACTGAAATTTATGACCCATTTTCATTCCCTCAAACAGTTAATCAGAACACAAATAACGGTCCGACTCACTCCAGGCAACAATCGGCAACATGCAACATGTCAGCATATTTTTAAACTCTGGCTATCGATAGCTGAGACACGCTGTATATACTATTAAAATTCGATTCTAACTTGTTCAAACCGAATCACTACTCACTACAAATTTGCTTCGAAGCCTAAAACTCGCAATTCGTACAGGCCTAAACTTCACATATCCTATATATTATAAGCTTAACACAAAATCTCTCTTCAAAAAAAAAAAAAAAAACTGGAGCTCACCCGCTTCTCACAATGCTGCAATAACTGTTCCACTATGCTAACGTTATGCACACTGGGATTGACAGTGTACCCTGCTTCTGATAGGCCACCACACTTTTATTGTAGCTATTAATGCTCCTGAAAGCAACAGATTCACGACTCTCTCATTTTTATGGGTCTATTTAATGTTGCTGCATCGATAAGTGCTATGTTATACCCCCATAATCAGTTTTTATAACATCAGATAGTACTATTCAGATGGCTTCAGCTACACTTAAGTAGACTTCAATGTCCAAAAACCTAAACTTGCACAGTGGTTTATGAGAGACACCATTAGTGTGGAAGGCTCTGAACTGAATTTGACAAGCTGATGGTCTTTAAAGAAACACTAAAGTGAAAATGAATCAGCGAGATTCATAAGTTATACTCTGAAAACAGTAGTCATTAATTTCACCATCATAGGTTTATTTTAAAAAAAGAATAAAATCAAGGTCAAGTTTGATTGTTATATTTTGCGCCTAAATTGCCGCACAAAGCAGATATCACAAGTTTTGTATGTTGAGTCCACGGCCCCCTAAGAGGGCAATGAATGAAAGAAGGGAAGAATTTTTGCTCATTTTTTTTATTGCTTAAGTACAACATTAGAGGGGCCCAGCAACACTTTTTCGCTGCAGCACTGGAATTCATGTAGGGCTGCATACCGAGATAAACTAAAGAATTATCAAAACTGGTAAGCAGTAACGGAAGTTAGTTTTCAAAGTTCAAAACCCCAGCAGATAATTAGAATAAAAAAATTTTCTTTCACATTTCACTCTCACAGTGACATCAAAGGCCTTTTCCAATCACGGCGCACGTCTTAGAAAGATGAACCAGACTTCTCACCTCGTGGCAGCTGTTGTGCAGCACTCCTAGCATCATTTTGCAATCGTTATCACATTTTCATATTTGAAAACATACCTTTGTATTTGAGGAAGTATAAAAAGTGCTTTTACAATTTTTAGCAAACAATAGTGTGGACTATCTGGGACCCTATGAGTACTACACATGACTTGTCACGTCGAACTAATCAAAACACATGGCAGATGTCATCACTTCTGATCACAAAAACGGCCACTGTGTGTCACTCTAGTCCTAAGACAGTGTGGTTTCTCCGTAGAATTAAAATTAAAACAGCTTTGTTTTTGGCATCACACTTTGCACAACATTATCAGCACACTCGGAAGTTCGAGAAGAAACAATATGAACAACACGTTAAATTTTTCTCGCAGGGCCCCTTTAATGAGAGCAGACAAAAAAGTATAGTAGATGTTATTGATAGAAATTATGGAAATGTAACCAAATTAAAGGTGACAAAAAAAAATAAGATTCCACTGACTGGGACTGTTGGCTGCAACCTTCGAATGTGTACGATGCTCTAACAACTGAGCTACAATGGCAGTCATCCCCCCTGTCCACGTACTGGGGTATACACGTGCATTTAAACCTGGGATCGTTAGTCAGCACTGCTAGTAGCCATGATGGCGAGTGTGGAACATTTTTTTTTTTGCTTGCTGGAGTCTCGAAGCACACAACTTTTTTTTTACGAGCTGGCAGGCGACCAATAATTTTTTTAAGCACAACATTAATGAGAACACACGACGAATTCTAGGAAAGTAGAATGAGCAAGTGAGTAAAATGTTGAGTGAGTAGAGTATTGAGTGAGTGATAACTTTATTACGATCTAAAAGTGGCAAAAGTTGAATGGTACTGGAGACCCTGCTAGCTCAGCCAGGTAACTCCACCAGGGATATTATTTCCAGCAATTATGATGTAAATATAAAGAAAGGTTGCTCGGAGCTTTTGCTAGTAGATAGTTTTCTTGTACTACAGTACATTCAGTATTGATTTAATGTAAGTCGCAACTCAAAGGAATTCGGAGATGCAATAAAAAAAATATAGGTCATTTATTCTTTGCATACCTGATCATAAGGCAAAAGGGCATGGCTCTCTGCACCAAAAAGGTTGTAGTACCAGAATCCAAGCACAGCAAGGATTATTGGTATCTGAAAGCACGATTCTTTATTATAAGGTCAAGTCTCAGCTAACATTATAAAAAGTTCTACTGCCTGAAAAAAACACTGAAAGTGCACTCAAATTTATGGCAATTCAAAGACATGCAAGACGAGCCTTTTTTTATACTTTTACTAGAATAAAACTTCAAGACATCGAGGAATATATTCCTTATATTATTTTACTGCTTTTCCACCACGCATGCAGCATAACCGTTTCAGACACGAGCCATGGCATGATTCAGCTACAGTTATGAAGTGTGGCCGAAAGACATACTTAATCTACAGGTTTCATTGCAAAAGTATTTAAAATTCTATTTTTTTTAAAAGTGTGCATGAGTGGAGTGAACTGCAGCTGGCTGATAGAATTCACAACTTCTGGTTCTTTCTACTGTAAATTTAATGAATTTCATTACAATGCAGTTATTCTATTGTACATATTGTATATAACTTGTCAATTTTTTCTTCCTTGTACCTTGGGTCTTATTTATGACAAGTAGAAGTACCAAATAAAAGTATATATGTGATTGGCACTTTGCAGAGATGGCAGGCACTGAGAAGTGAAATGGCCACATAAACACAAAAGGACAGCAGGCAGGCACACTATACTGCAAGTTAAATTTGCACTTTAATTTGTTCACTGGTCATGCTTCTTTTCACTCAAAATAAGCTTGCAAGCTACAACTCGTTATATTCTATGCATACCAAGCAACAGTATGAAACCTACTAGAAGAGCTCCTAGTAATTAATTTTATCCTCTTTCCAGCTAAAAGCAGATAATAACACTTACATTTTTCTCCACGGGAGCGTTCAGGAAATGTTGATCCATAAAGTAAGCGCCACTGAGCAGCTTCTCAAAGTTGTCCATACCTGAATTAAAGCACAAATAGAGGCCAAAGTGTGATAAGCACCACAGTCACCTTCACTTGAGCACTGTGACATTCATTGAAAATTGTGTAATGTGGAAGTGCTCCTTCTGAACAATACTGCTTAGTATTCTCTAATTTGCTTTAATTTGCACATTCCCAATTTTGCGCCTGCTCTAAACCTGGAGAACTTATTTTTTTCAGCTTCTTTACATTTATGAAAGTGACTAAACTCCTAATTCTTACCAACAAAAAGGGCAATGGAAAGTCCAATAGCTGACCAGAGCGAATATCTGCCGCCAACCCACTGTAACAGCAAAAAATGTGTTGAATTTAACACAGGCAAAGCAACATATGCACAGTAGTACTTACATCCCAAAACTCAAACATATTTTTCTCATCAATACCAAATTCCTTCACTTTAGGTTCATTTGTTGAAAGCGCCACGAAGTGCTTTGCAATATCAGCTGGCTGAAATGACAACAATTGCACAAATCAACAACTATCTGCAACATGAAACAGCACTTGGAGTATTTAAACAAGTGCAATTACAAGATGTTATGGTTTCTTACATTCTTGGTATGATTCATCAGCCAGTCCTTTGCTGAATGAGCATTTGTGATAGTTTCTTGGGTGGTAAAGGTCTACAAAATAAACACAAGACATTATTATTTCTGCAGCTGTTTCATTATAGTTTTACAAAGAATGCAACTCCAACAACTCTTGCCTTTGATGCAATGATGAACAGAGTCGTCTCGGCACTAAGGTTTTTCAGGGTCGTTGCAAGGTGTGTGCCATCAATGTTGGAGACAAAATGAACATTTGGACCAGACTGGTAGGGTCTCAGTGCCTCAGTCACCATGTGAGGACCCTGTAACAATTTACAAACAAAACTCGGGATATATGATGTGATAAGGGCTCAATGTAAACAAATTTTTGAATGAATAAAATGACACACCCCAAGTTATCATGCAAGACCATGCAGAAGAAAAAAAAAACTGCAAATGTTATAAGAATAATTATTCACTCCGCAAAATCGAGTATCAGTTATGAAAGTTCTAGAAGCACTTACAAGGTCGGAGCCTCCAATTCCGATATTCACAACATCAGTGATGGATTTCCCTGTGTAACCCTTCCATGCACCCTTTCTGACACAGTCCGAGAATTCCCGCATATGCTTTAACACGGCATTAACACCAGGCATCACCTGTAACAAAATTACCACTTCCACATAAGCTGAAAGGCACAGACATCAAAACAAAACCACTCACTCAATATACCAAAAATATACTGGCTTTGGTTTTGCTTCAAGAGAACTCTTGTTCACAGAAATGTGGAATACTATGCATCAATACACATTATGTGCCTCAGGTCATATTAAACTAGTTATAAAAGAATGCAGAGCCTTGTGGCTCTGTGACTCTCTTTACAGAAATTTGTGTTATTATTTGGCAACAATTATCTGTATTTCATCAAAATTATGGTAAAAATATCAATATCACATTTGCCAAATGCAATCCAAAAATCATTTTTAATATTTTGCAATATGTTGCCACTGCAAAATCCTTTGATAAACAATGTTAATTTTGTGTGCAATTCAAAGGCAATAATGGTTTAACAAAAGTTTTCCTGGGTTTATTTAAAGCACAGGATAATCTATACAAGCATTAACATAGCATAATGGTGTAAAACATGCTCTATGGTTTTCATATTGATGCTGAGGCCACAAAGTTAACAATTAAAACCTTAAATATCCATGAAAATTATGAACATATACAACACATACAGTCTGCTTGAGGCTTCCTAAGGACATTGATTGCAACACACAGCTTCCGCAACATATGCTCCTTGACTTTTTTTTCTTTTTGGCTAGTTCCTTTGCAGAACACCCAACATTCTAAAAGTACAATAGCAGTAAGTACAGACAACATTAAAACTATACATGATCAAAGAGAAGTAGAATTAAAAATCCAGAGTGTTTTAATACCCAAATGTACTGCTTAAAATTGCAGTATTCACATTATCTAACCACATTACATCACAAACTAATCGTATCTCTTGGGGGCCACATACTGCTAAAAATTTTAACTGAACAATCTAAACTTTCTATAGGTGGCTGATACATTATTTACAAACAAATTCACGACAGAAAAAAATTACTTACCACAGGGAGGAATAAACACCGACTGGTTCGAGGCGTAAACAAGATTGACACATGGCACAGGTGCTGTGACCTTAAATCAATAAGTATTATATTCCTTCCTGTGGCAAAAATATTTACCTCCAGAAAAGTAAATCACCTGAAGATGCACCCTCGTGTGCACTACCTATACACTTTTCTATCATAATATAAGTCTTGATAAACATGCTAGCACTTAAATGTCCCACACAGGCATAGACAAAATAGAGTCCCCCCCCCACCCCCACCCCCCAAAAAATTCAGATTTGTATGCACATAAATACACACACATAGAAACATGCACAAATATTGATGAAGCCTACTGGAATACCCCCTCCCTCTCCAAGAAAACTTTCTGGGCTACGCTACTAGTTCCTATGTATTAGACAAAAATGGGAAAAGACAACATTAATATGACCTGCAGGTATTATTCCTCATCAAAGTGCTTCAAAATATTAGTGCAGAAGCTCTTTTGCATTATTGTCTCTGTCACAACTGTCACAGCCAAGAATATTCAGTGAAAACAGCATACAAAGACTGGTCAGTGGAATGAAGCAAATAATATCTGGGGTTTTATGTCCCAAAACCACAATACATTTATGAGAAACGAAGTAGTGGAGGGCTCCGGAAATCTCAGACCATCTGCATGGTGCTCTTTGATGTGCACTCATGTACAGTACACCTCTACCATTTTGCTTCCACCAAAATGCGACCGCCGGGATCGACCCCGCGATGTTCGGCAGTAGCCAAGACCATAGCCACTGGTCCACCGCGACAGATATTGAATGAAGCACGCAGACACAGCACTGTTTCTATATAAAATATTCAGCTTGTGACAGCGTCCAGAAGTACAATGTTACGGTTAACTACAGTCGGTTTAAAATGTTTAACAATGCCGTCAAAAGCTATTATAACAAGTTGCATCTCACATTGACCAATATGAACACAGCATCAAGTCAAAATGCCAGATGACTGCGCGGTTATACTCACATCCTTTCCATCAACAATGATGGGAGTATTGCTGCGGTTTCGCAATGCAACGTGAAGCACTGCCCTCCCTTCAGTGAAGTTGATCTTCTCCCCACGAAACATTGCATCACGGGCCAATGTGACCTTACGTGACCTGACGAGGTCAAATAGTTTCGCCATAATTTCTTCATTGACGATGTTCTTGGAGTAGTCAAACAAGAGCGCGCCAGAGTCGGACGTCTCTAATTTAATGCTGAAAAAAAAAAAAAGGAAAGTTGCTTGTATTGTATTCTTTCTGTACTGTATTCTTTCAAAATGGACTAAACCTTTCTCATCAATAAGCTTAGCTTGTCTGTGCTTCAAAACACTAACAAAAAATTAGGATGTGTACCAGGGCAACGTATCAATGAATGACAGAAGAGAGAGGTTCAGCCAGAAAATAGCGAAGGAAGCACTACGGTCTTACTGGTGAGCAAGTGTCAAGGAAGTTGTACGAGCGCGCCGAACGCATAGGAAGCTACAAGGTCAGCGAAGGGCATGATGAACACGGGCATCAACCAGTCATTGTCACAGCTATTACAAAGACAGTTTATGCAAGCAGTAAATGCTACTGCACTATCGTAACCAGCACTCACCGCTGCTATTGCTAATACAACCGCAAACCGGACACCTAACCTGAATTTCCTGAACCGGTCAGGATCCTTCTTGAAGAGATCCAGAATCCTGAGTTTTTTGCCGTCGGAGTCATAGTATTCGCGGAGCTTCTTGTACGCGGGGTCGTCCAAGAGAAAGTGATCTTGACGAACGAGGCCATAACTATGACTTCCCAGCAAAGCGACAACCCAGCAGTCGAAGCCGCCGTTGACGCCGTCTCCAGCGGCGCTACTGGCGCTACTGCCCTAGCGCTACTCAGCCCAATGCCTTTCCGCCGGTGCAAGTCAGCCGGCTAGCCAATCCAGCTGTCAAACGGCACACAGAAAAAGGACAGCGGCAGAGTCAATTGTTTAACTCGTTTGACTGTTTGGCGGCAGGCAATTGTTTTTCTTTTTTTTTTTTTTTCGCGAGGTAGCGGACTCGCGGAAAAAAAATAGAGAGAAAGAGGACTAAGAAAGGAAAGACCAAACTCCGCCCATTGTACCGAAGCTCCTCCTACGGACTTTTGGAGGGATATTCAAATGCGCTCGCTGTGGCTTGGACAGCATACAAACATGGGAACACACCGTGCATGTGAAGTTAGATACAAATATACTGAAGAATTACCAACGAAGCACCCAAACACACTAGGACCGTACCAAGTAAAAATGAAAATTCAGTATAGCTCCCACGCATGCGAAGTAGTCATCGCGTGCAACTTGAGTTGTGCGCCGACAACACAGACATGTAGTGTCGGTCATGATCTATCGTAACGTAGGCACTCATATCTGAGCAGGGAGAGAATAGTTTGTCCTAGCGCGAATGGCGTTGCGCCATTCCGAATTTCCTCGCTGCTGACACCAATCTCCAACTGCCCGATCTCCGACCCCCGCCCGTGGCTCGTATTCCAACGCGCACCCGCCGGCTCGAGACTTTCTTATTCTTTTGCGCGCAGGCAAATTCTCAAGTGCGCAGGCATTTGGTGGGGGTGTGCAGCCTATTCACTGATTTGTATATGGGGCAAGGCCTCAGCTACCAAAGACGCGTTCTGGGCCTCCAAACGTTTTATTCACCCGACCCTCAGGAGAACGTGACTTCTCGTCGCCGCCATCCATTCCTGCTCCCAATACCATGACACTTTGTGGCTTAACTCAAGCCTTACACGTTCCCCCTAAGGAGCTCCGGGTCCGTTCAGTTAGCCTAAACATAAAAGACCGAGATATTGATTCGCGAAAGCCTGCGCTTGGCACTCCCGATGATGCTTGGTGGCATATATACTCATGCCCGGCCTTACAACAGCGCTGTGCTTGGCTCTACAAGTGGCGTGTTGCAGGAATCGTATGAGAGTGCCATGCCTGAGCCTATTGCATTAGACAAAGGAACGCGACTACTCTTCTTTTTCGGGAGGAAATTTTCCTCCTTATTGCGTCGTGTTGCTGCCATTTTTCTGCATCACGGTAAGCCATGTTTGCACTGCCGTTCAACATGGGTGCCTGTTACATATTAAATGCGAAGCATTTCTCAGCGAAATTCGGTGACTTTGAGCGTATCTATCTATCTATCTATCTATCTATCTATCTATCTAGCCGCTTCTGTTTGGATGCTCTCGTGGTCACCCCCTTAACTTGGCGTGAACCAAAATTAGCATGGAAGGGTAAGATGATTTGACGAATATGATGCGCTGGTCAGGACATGATTAATGTCACAATCCCGTCGCGTACGTCGTCAAACGCTTCCCGCCAGACAGTGGCACACACTCGCGGGCGGGTATGTGCCGCTAGTAAGCGGGTATGTGCCACATGTGATTGACACTTAGTATTTACCCAGGAACGACGAGAACACAGGTGCGCAATTTTAACGCGTGAGCGTTAAGCAATACCCGACATCGATAGCGTCAACCCAACGAGGGCATAGAATAAATTTCAGTGTTAAGGAAAACCTGAAATAGGCAGCGTTGGCCACCCTACGGATGCAAATAATAAATTTCAGGGTCCCAGCAGGAATCGAACCCAAGCATTCTGCGTGGCAGTCAAGCATTCTACCGCAGAGCTACGCCAAGTCTCGGAACTACTTTTCAAATAGACGCTAATCATTGTAAAACATGAATAGTGGTTGCAGCGCTGCCTACCAAATTCTATAAACATTACATATGTACTCCTTTCATACAGCCGTCACGTCGGGTTAACGTCAATTGTGGTGAGGTGCCATGCGCTGCAATTGATTTATGGAGGAAACCGCAAGTGGACATGGCCCTAATGACGAAAATAAGAACGAAATAGACTTTATAATGAGTACACACACAGACATCGTGCAGGATGTGGAAGTGGTTCGCAAGGTACGATGCAGTGACCATAGAATGGTACGGTCTCGAATTCGTCTAGACTTGAGGAAGGAACGACAGAAACTGATAAGCAAGAAGCCGATCAATGAGCTAGAACTGAGAGGGAAAGTACAGGAATTCAGAGTCTCGCTTCAGAACAGGTACTCGGCTCTTAGTGAGGAAACCAACCTTAGCGTAGATACAATGAATGATAATCTGACGAGTATCATTACGGAATGTGCAATGGAAGTTGGACGCAGGGTAGTTAGATAGGACACTTGCAAGCTTTCCCAGGAAACGAGGAATCTCATTAAGAAGCGTCAAATCATGAAGTCTCAAGTACAACAGACAAAATAGAACTGGCAGAGCTTTCGAAGTGGGACAGGCAAAAAATCGGATGTATGCACTAAGGGACAAAGAAGGCAATATAACTACCAATATGGATAGGATAGTTAAAATAGCGGAGTAGTTTTACAGAGATATGTACAGTAGCCGGGAAAACCACGACCTTAATACTATAAGAACTAGCAGTAACCCAGATGACACCCCACCAGTAATGATAGAAGAAGTCAGAAAAGCCTTGGAGAGCATGCAAAGAGGCAAAGCTGCTAGTGAGGATCAGGTAACATCAGATCTGCTGAAAGATGGAGGACAGATTGTGTTAGAAAAACTAGCCACCCTGTTTACGAGGTGTCTCTTTACGGGAAGAGTACCAGAGTCTTGGGAAGAATGCTAACATCATCCTAACACATAAGAAAAGAGATGACAAGGACTTGAAAAATTACAGGCCGATCAGCTTGCTCTCCATAGTATACAAGCTGTTTACAAAGGTAACTGCTAACAGAATAAAGAAAACATTAGAATTCAATCAACCAAAGGAACAAGCAGGATTTCGAACAGGCTATTCAACAATCGACCACATTCATACTATCAATCAGGTAATAGAGAAATTTTCAGAATATAACCAACCACTATACATAGCCTTCATAGATTACAAGAAGGCGTTTGATTCAGTAGAAATATCAGCCGTCATGCAGACACTGCGGAATCTGGGCACCGATGAAGTTTATACAAACATCCTGGAAGAAATCTACAGGTGATCAACTGCTACCGTAGTGCTTCATAAAGAAAGCAACACAATACCAATCAAGAAGGGTGTAAGGCAGGGGGACACAATCTCCCCAATGCTATTACTGCGTGCTTACAGAAGGTTTTCAGAAGCCTAGAATGGGAACGGTTAGGGATAAGAGTTAATCAAGAGTACCTTAGTAACCTGCGCTTCGCCGATGACATTGCATTGCTAAGTAACTCAGGGTACGAATTGCTACTCATGATTACGGAGTTAGACAAGGAGAGCAGAAAGGTGGGCCTTAAAATTAATCTGCAGAAAACGGAAGTAATGTACAACAACCTCGGAAGGAAGCAGCGCTTCGAGATAGGTAATAGTCCACTTCAAGTTGTAAAAGACTATGTCTACTTAGGGCACGTAATAACCGTGGAGCCGAACCACGGGATTGAAGTAACTAGAAGAATAAGAATGGGGTGGATTACCTTCGGCAAGCACTCTCAAATTATGACAGGTAGATTGCCACTATCCCTTAAGAGGAAGGTATATAACAGCTGTATCTTGTCGGTACTTAGCTACGGAGCTGATGATATGTGGGGTTTAACGTCCCAAAACCACCATATGATTATGAGAGACGCCGTAGTGGAGGGCTCCGGAAATTTCGACCACCTGGGGTTCTTTAACGTGCGCCCAAATCTGAGCACACGGGTCTACAACATTTCCGCCTCCATCGGAAATGCAGCCGCCGCAGCCGGGATTCGAACCCGCGACCTGCGGGTCAGCAGCCGAGTACCTTAGCTACTAGACCACCGCGGCGGGGCTTAGCTACGGAGCAGAAAACCTGGATACTTATACAGAGAGTTAAGCTTAAATTGAGAACGACGAAGCGAGCAACGGAAACAAAAATTGGTAGGTGTAACCTTAAGAGACAAGAAGAGGGCAGAGTGGATTAGGGAACAAACGGGGTTTAAAGATATCATAGTTGAAATCAAGAAGAGGAAATGGACATGAGCCGGGCATGTAGCACGTAGACAGGATAACTGCTGGTCTTTAAGGGTAACTAACTGGATTTCCAAAGAAGGCGAGCGGGTTAGGGGGAGACAGAAGGTTAGGTGGGCAGATGAGATTAAGAAGTTTGTGGGTATAAATTGACAGCAGCAAGCACAGAACTGAGTTAACTGGCGGAAACGGGGAGAGGCCTTTGCCCTGCAGTGGACGTAGTCAGGCTGATCATGATGATGTGAAGGATGTATACAGGACGCGTGTATTTGTAAAGCACGAGTGTTATTTTTCACTGCATTTCCAAGCAGAGGAAGATATTTTCACTACATTCACAATCAGGCGCGTGGCCGTGTGGGAGAACATCCGCTTTTTACGAAAACGACCCGGGTTCAATCCTAACTCAGTCCCAAACGACGCGGGCTGTATCCCTACTCTAACCCACGGCTTTTTAAATAATTCATTTCATTTGAATCAGTCTTGATTTTCGGTCGCGCATAAGATGACTTTTCACTCACAACCAACGATGCCGACGCCCGAATTTCTGTGAAACGAGCTCTTAAGGTGGTGCATGGTTTCATTATCGCCATCTTGCCAGTAATGCCGAAACGAAATAGGAACTTAATGAACAATAAACCATTTGTACTTCAGTCGCCATATATTTTATCACGTATTGATTGTCGCATTAAGGTCAGAAAGAGGATTTGCCGAAATATAGAGCCTGCCTCAATTTCATCATCCCGCGTATCAACACCAAACGAGACTTGCCCCCCCCCCCCCCCCTCCCACCCATACCACTCGGTATCTATCACCGACAGGGCTAAGGCCAAGGAAGTTCGCCATAAACACGTGTGTGATTCTGCTCTTCCATGTGATATCATGTATGGGCCGTGAGAGCACCTCTGATCAAAAGCTCACCAAAGAATCCACGGATCGCCAGTTCCTAACATCTGCAAGGCGGTCATGCCAGCTGTTTTTCGCTTCATATGCAAGTACTTGTGC